CTTATTCGGTACGTCAGAGTAAGCTTCTCTTATAATCTTCATTATCCTCAGTTCACCGACAAAGCCATTGGCCAATTGTTTTGTATTAGTACAGTACTAGCCAAATACACGTACTAATAGTATAATAATAGTAATACTAATACATCACGTACCGTACAGCTGTTACATGTGTTCAATTTCCCTTTTCTTTTTTTTTTTTTCAAGGGTTCTGTTCCGAGCTGCTCACTCCTCTTTGGTAACAAGTCAGACTTATCCTCGACGTCTCTGGCTCAAAAACTTGGTAAGCCACTTGAACATTCTGTTTGTTGCTGTAGGGTAGAGTTTTAATTTTATTAAAGTTTTACAGCGCTCGCAACTGCATAAAAGTACATGTAAACGGTCACATGAGCACCAGGAGGTGGATGTCAGCAGAGAAGTGCAAACAGGGAATCAGGCTTACTCTGGTCCCCTCTTTAGCCTCAACAGCACCAAGTCTGATTCGACTATCAAGGCACCCCTGAAATAGCAGTTCACAAGGGAGTGACAAACATACAAAAGAAGTAGAAGAAAAATGACAATAGTAAGGATGAGGAAAGAAAAAAAAGCAGTTTCCCCTTTGTTGTTCCGGCACAGTGTGCGCGTGACATTGATATAAATCAGCCCATTTACAATTCTACTATACTATGCATAAGACCATATTAATAAATACATGTATGTTAATATTCCCCCTTTGGGAATGGCAGAGTAGAGAAGAGTAGTGTATCTATGTATTGAAGTGTGTATACAGTACTAGTACTATGCATGATGTAGTAATAGCAGTCAACTTTATTTGATGTAGATGTAGTGCTTTACTTTTGATCAGTTCAATTTTATGAAAGCAGTATTGACAACTTGAGTACCATATATTAATGTTCAATTGATATTATATTTATAGCTTGCAAAATGCGGATTTTCTAGATTTCAATTTCCTCATAGTGGTAAGTTTTTAAAAAAAATCAGAGTTTGTCTGTTTTTGTTCTTGCATAGATTTACGTTTATATGTTTCAGTGATGCTACATGTGAAGTTGACATTATCTGAAAATGATACAACGTGTACAGTGTAGTTATTTTCCAAACCGTTCTAACCGAATTTAGGCTGTCTGAGTAAGCCTTCTAATACAGTACCGGTGCATGTTGACAGTCAAAGAGTAGACTCCTATTTTCTCGCTGGAATTTCACTAAATTCTCCTTGTACTTCTGATAGACAAGTTCTTGAAGTGACCATATTTGCAAGTTGATGAAGTGAAGAAAAAAATGCCAAGGTTTTAAATAGTTAAATTGGTTATCATTCTGTACTCTACACATGTCACCTATAAAATGAAATACATGTACTCCTTTTGTTTTGTGCTAAACAACAAAAGTATTTTTTTAAAAAGTATTTACCACCGACGTCTGTGAAAATAGCAAGCTAGGTAGTTCTCTACGGCACACAGAAGACGTGAGTTCGAACAATAACAAGTTTATAACCAAGTGTTCAGGAGGGATTCCGCAGAGAGCCGGCCCTTACCGCGACAAAGTCCGCTGAGAAAACTATACAAGAGTTAGGGTTAGAGTTGTTGTTAGGGTTAAGGTTAGGGTTAGGGTGAGATGTTGTTGGTCGGCTGGCCCTCTGCTGAACTCCTTCCAAGTGTTCTACATGTTGACCGGTTGCTTTGTTGTGGCTTATTTTAATATTATATTTCAGCGTAGTAATAGATCTCTACACCCATCTACACAATTCTCTACGTTCTATCGCCTCCATCAATTCACCTCCAGCCACACCCACCCCCAATACCACCAACATCAACCTTATCTACATGAGCACTACTCACACTAACACCTCACCAGTACCCAGACCACCACAACCAACTACAACGACACACCGACCACCACCACCAACTACAACAACACACTGACCACCACCACCAACTACAACAACACACCGACCACTACCACCAACCAAAATAACAACATCAACTTCACTTTCATCGGCACTACTCACACTACCACCTCTCCAACACACCGACCCTTCCACCACCACCACCAACAACACGCAACAACAACAACAAAAACAAGAACAAGAACAACGCACCGACCATGACCACAACCACCACCATCACCACCACCACCAACAACACCCGGTCCACAACTGGATCTACTACCACCACCACCACAACTAGCAACACCAACACCAACATCGACTTAACCTGCACCAGCACCACTACAGCGCCCTAGGCTCACGTGACCGATTTTTATTTTTGTTTTGTTTTGTTTTATTTTTTTTGAATTGACAGCCAAGAAGTTGAGCAAGCAGGTGTTCGTCAGCTGTACCGTCCCGTTTGACCAACACCTGTCTGTGCTGGTGGAGAAGAGACTGGCCCAGGAGTTGGCGCTCAACGGTTCCGGAGACTTGTGATTGAAGTGTGTGTGTGTGTGTGTGTGTGTGTGTGTGTGTTGTGTGTGTGTGTGTGTGTGTTGTGTGTGAGTTGAGTGTGTGTGTGTGTGTGTGTGTGTGTGTGTGTGTGTGAGTGTGATGTTGTGTGTGGTGTTGTGTGTGTGTCCGGGTGTTTGTGTGTGTGTTAGATACCTAGAGATAGTGTTTGTGTGTGTTTGCTTTTGAGTGTATTTACGGGTATTTTGTATGCGAATCAGGTGTGTGTGTGTGTGT